GTGGATTGCAGGGCTTCCGACACACGAGAGACGTGGGAAAGGGGGACAGGAATGCGTGTAGCTGTGGACTGAGTACAGGCCTGGAGCTGTTCTCGGATGCTGTCTGTGGAGATTGAGCTACCTGGTGGAGAGGAGGCTGATGCTAATGTGGGGACCATATAAACTCCCCTCCAACCCTGAATTTGTTTGAGGTTAAGAACTGCTGGGCTGATTTAGACCTAATCATGCATAATAAAAAATGTATTCATGCTTCCTTTATTAAGCGCTTACTGAATGCCAGGCACCATAGTAGATAGCTTATGCACATTTACTAAAGCTAATTTGGAAAACAGTCCTGCAAGGAGAAGAAGTATTAGTATTACTATTAGTGGGTAAGTTGAGGCTTGACCATATAGCCTGGTCCTCTCCAAATCCCACACGATTTTATGGATGGCACATGCTGCCTTCAGACCTACACCACTTGATCTCCAATGCATCTCCACTTTTTATTCCATGAAACTCAAGTGCAATGAAATTACAAGAATCATAAAGTACCAGTGTGAGCATTTTCCAGGCGAGAGTCTGCCATGTACTGCTTCTGTGAGCCAGCAACCCAGAGGAATAAAAGGCAGTGGCAGGCTCCACTCAAATAAAAGTCATTTCTAGAAGATAAGATGGGAGAGCACTTGCTGAGCAGCGGGAATGAAGACCCAATTCATGAGGCAGAGAAGAGAGGCTCTGGGGAGAGAGTGAGAAAGAAGACCCAAAAAGAACCGGGCCCTGGGGCAGTCGGTGCCTAGAAAGGGTCCGAGTGCCTGAACTGATTTAGAAGCCAGTAGACTCTGGAAGAAAAGCAGGCTTTGCTGAATTTAAGGATCATGTCAAAGAGGTAAAATTCCCCCTGCCCATCTCGAGCAAAAGAAAAACCAGCTAAAGCACTTGGGTGGAGGCTGGGCGCAGAAAAGGAGCGTACCCGCTTGATGGGAAAGCTGCTCTCTGGGGAGATGCTCTGGAAGAGGCCAGCCAGTGCTGGACCTTGTCCTTGTGCGGGAAGGCACCGAATCAAGAGGAATGAGGTCTGGACTGTGACAGAAATGGATTCTAGGGCTTGGCTTTAGCTCTGTGGAGTGAGTGGAGGTGGAGGGGAAGGGAGAGGTGACTAGGAGGGCAAGGGAGTCACGAGACAGTGAAAATGTCCATCTTGTGATGCTGAGATTTTCCCGGGGAGCTTCAGCTATAGCCCTCCCCCTGCCTCCCCCCTCCCCGTGCGTGCGTGCGTCCGTGCGTGAGTGTGTTCCTCGGGGCTCTGCCATCCTCACTTTGACCATTCCCTGGTCAGTCATTCAATGCAATCATCACGAGAACCTAACCAATGTTCAGCCCTGAGCTGGGACTACTAACACATAGACCCTGACACCATGTTGGTTTGTCTTCAGAGACGTGGCTGCAAAACAGCGCTCAAATCACCACCATGCTTTGGATCCTGAATGTCCCCAGTGGCCGTACATTTAAGGATTAGTCCCCATTCTGTGGCACTATCAGTAAGTGGTTGACTTTTTACTAGATGAGACCAAGTACAGATAAGTTACTTTTACTCAGGGCATTTCTTAGACGGGAATAATGGGATACTGCCTCTTTTTGTCTCTCTCTTTCACTTCCTGGCAGCCACGGCATAGCCGATCCTGCTCCAACCACAGTGTGCTGCCTTGGCACAGATCCAAACGCAGTGAGGCCAAATGGCCATGGACTGAGCTTCCTAAACTGTGAGCCAAACTTAAGCTCCACTCTTTCTTGATTACCTCCCAGGTATTTTATCACAGGCACAAACATCTGCCTTTACAGGGCTCTCATGTCTTTCTGAATATTTGTTACTTTCTCCAATTGGCATTTTAACCAAATCATAATTAGCAATAACATGAACCAAGCACATATCATTGGCCAAGTTACATGCTAAGCTCCTTTTAACATTATCTTAAACAATCCCCACAAAGAAGTAGGTAGGTTCTACCATGATCTCCATTTATTTTGGCTTAAAGGGTGATGGAACTTCTCTAGAGTTATATTTAGTAAGTAGCCAGGGTTCGAATCCGGGTCTGTCTGTGTCAGGGACTCCTCCCAGCATGGGACTCTCCTCTGTCTTTCTACATGAGTCCACATACATGCCTGGTATCAGCTATGACCATTAGGCCTATGACTAAGGAGGATGAGATCAATGAATCTATTCAAAGTCCTTTTCAATGGTGTATGTATGTGTGTGCAGGTGATCACATGTGTGTGCTAGCCACACACGTGTGTGAGTGCATGTAGAAGTCAGAGATCAATGTTGGCTTTATCCCTTGATCACTTTTAAACTGTATTTTTTGAGACAAGATTTCTCACTGAACCTGGAGCTGTACTGGCTGTCTAGAGAGCCCCTGGGGTCCACCTGTCTTCACGCCTCTCTCTACCCATTGCTGGGCTTTAGATACACAATGCAGCACCCGGCCTTTACAGAGGTGCTGGGGATTGGCTTTCATGCTTGCACAGCATTTGCCCACTGAGCCATCGCTCTAAACCCCTTCCTAGTGGTTTTGTCTTCGTTGTTTTCAGACCCGACTGAAGTGTACTCAGAAAGCTCAGCCAAAGCCATCCCTGCCTCCTCCCAGGCTGTGGAAGTTCATTGGGGATTAACAGTGCAAGGCACGGGTTATAGACCCATCGTAAATTAGCTTTTCGGCCACATAATGAACAGTACGAGGAGGCGTGGCCTTAAAAGGACCATTTATTATATTGCAATAAACAGAGCTATATAAAGAGAGTTATTCCTGAGACGGCACATCTGTGCTCACAATCATGTCTTTACGTGAGCTTTGTAAACAGGGATGAAAGTCCAATTTAGACTGTGCATTGAACAGCAGTTCTCCATTCAGCAGGAAAGGTAATTCTAGCTATTCTAGAGGTGTAGATGCTGCGTGGGTCTTGTTTTTGCCAAAGATCATAGCCATCTCTCTTGGTCACGATCGGAGTTGTTAATCCAAACCATAATGAGCTGACTGGAGTTTCACTTTAACAGTGTGGAATGCTGGGGCAGTGATTGGAGGTGTGTGTGTGAGTATGTGTGCACGTGTGTGTGTGTGAGTAGATGTGTGCACGTGTGTGTGTGTGTGAGTATGTGTGCACGTGTGTGTGTGAGTAGATGTGTGCACGTGTGTGTGCTCCCTTCCCTGCTCCCCAGAATGCACACACTTATCTTTCCTATCTCTCATCCTGTCTGATTAAAAAAAGGACCTATCATACAGTAGGTGTGTTAAAATGTGGCATAGATTGGAAAGCGGAGGCTTGGTATGGATGGAATGAGCTGTAAGATGTAGAAACAACCGACTGATGTCAGTGCTGTGTGAGGCTGTTCACCCGTGTTCTCATTTGGTCCTCATACTGGGAGGGTCTAATAAAAGAGTGTTTACAAAGAGCTTGCCAACAGAATTACCCTTTGTATGACCAGATGCCCCAGCCATGTGCTTGTCAACCCACTCGTGCATCCATCCGCGCATCCATCCACCCATGCATCCATCCACGGATCCATCCATCCACTCATGCATCCATCCACACATCCATCCACCCATGCATCCATCCACACATCCATCCACCCATGCATCCATCCATTCATGCATCCATCCACCCATGTATCCATCCATGGATCCATCCATTCATGCATCCATCCACACATCCATCCACCCATGCATCCATCCACACATCCATCCACCCACGCATCCATCCACCCATGCATCTTTACTGAGCAGGTGTAGCAAGTAGGTCAGACCTTCGTTGAGTCCTGGGGCTATAGCCACTAATGGACACATTTGGCTACCGTTCATCCATGGTGATTACTATCCAGTGTCGCTCTAAGCCAGAAAGGAATTGCAGGCGTATTTCAGAGGACCCTAAAACCCACACCGAGTTAATCTTTCATTTGAAGGAAAGGATGAAACAAAAAGGACAGTATGGTGGAGCAGGTGCTCCCCCCAAGCCCTATTTCCTGAGCTCTCTTAGGATCCCTTGTGGCCTTGGCCCCAGACAAGTCTCAGTAAAAGGCATCTCGAATCACAGGAGCCACTGTCGGCACTGGCAAATGGCACTTGCTGTGCTTTGAGATGGAAACGTTTCTCACGGGCTCGTCTGCTGAACACTTTGTCCTCAGCTGATGGTGCTACTTGGGGAAGCTCTAGAAACTTGGTGAGGCGGAATGCGGCTGGAGGTGGCAGGTCACTACCACGGTGCTGACGGGAGGCATCTGCATTCTAGGTCCCTAGCTGGTGGTGCTGCTTGGGATACTTGGGCACCTCTAAGAGTTAGAGCCTCTGGTGGAAGAAATGTAGCCCACCCCCACTTCCTGCTCAGGCTTCCTGACCGTGGTAAGACTGTGACCCTCCAGCCGAGCGCCTGTTGCCACGTCTGTCTTCCACACCAGAATCGAACGGCTTCTCTGGGATTATCGTCCAGAATAAACCCTTCCTCCATTAAATACCTTGCCAGGTATTTTAGCACAGCAGCTAGACAAGCAACCAATGCTGTTGCTGTGGGCGTGCCCTGTGGGTCTCATGTCCCGTCTCCCTCCTGTCTCTTGTTCTGTTTCCCAGCCATCATGTGGTGAAGAACCTCTTCCATTACATACTCCTACCGTAATGATGGCGTGCCCCCAGCAACCCTGGACCTAACCTTCTGAAACTGTGATGTGAGACAGCTCTCCCCTCCTCTAAGTAAGTCATCCTCTCGTGATTCTGTTCCGAGCTAAACAAAAGCACACAGCACAGCACCGTTCAGCATCCCAGGGCCGAACAAAATGAGCATGTGTTCTTTGAATTCTTTGATCATTGAAAGGAGAGGTTTCAGACTAGAGGGCAGGGAAGAAGAAAAAAGCTCCACAACCCGGGGAGTTCAGATTTAGGTGCCTGAGAACAGGGCCACACCACGGACTGGGGCTGAGTGGTCCCATGTAACAGCTGAACCCCCACACCATGCCAATCCCTTTCCCCAATATTCACCAATGGAGCAGTCGTGTCCAGTCCAGCTTGGGTCGCAGTTGCAAAGCCCGGTGTCTGAGAGGAAGGTTCCGTGGCCTGAGCACTGGTCCAAGCATGTGGCCCTGGGTGTCTCGCAGTTGGTGCCTCCCCATCCCACAGAGCAGTGGCATTCGCCTCTCACGCAGACACCCCGGCTGGAACATGTGGGGTCCATGCAGTCCACTGTGACATGGAAGGAAGATGGTACAGTAAACACAGACACCGCAGGGTGATCCTGGGAAGGGGCATGCTGCTAAAGGCATCTGTCCACTGGGGGAGATTACAGGTATAGTAAGGAGCAGGCCTCCCGTGAATGGCGGACCTCACCTGTAACATGTGGCTATAAGTCTCTGTTTTCTGGCTTGTGAGGTGAGCCAAGTATAGACATCAGCATGGCATCCAGAGCCCACCATGCTTGCCGTAAGACAAGGAGGCCCCAATGGGGAAATTGAGGCTCAGAGGGATAAATAATTTATGCCAGGTAACACACATAAATTCTACCAGAAAGGATTTTCCTTGTGTATGTGTGTGTGTGTTTGTACATGTATATGGTACATGCACACGAGTGTGTGGGTGTGTGTGTCCATGACTGTGCATGTGGGAAGATGCTGGGTGTCTTCATATACTGCTTTCTGTCTTATTTAACTAAGATAAGATCCCTCATTGAGCAGAAGCTCTGAGCCTTCTAACTATAAAACAGACAGGGCCAACATTCGGATCTATCAGGTTGCTCTAAGGAACAAGTTATGAGGAGGATCTGAAGACTAGATGAACTGTGACGTCACGGAGGTTATTTTTCCATCCCCTCAGGAGTTTGAGTAGTGAGGCTTGAGCAAACTCTTGGCTCATCTATAATCCAGACATTTAAACACACTAATTTCATTTATAATCCAGAGTGTTCGGCTTTCATGCCAATGCCTGGGCAACATGGTCTGGGTATAAAAGAGCCGCAGGCGCAAAGAGGCCGAGACTTTATGACAGAGGGCATGCTGGGGCATCTGTTTTGAGGACCTAGTCTTCTGGAGGAGGCTCTTTGGCCATCTCAGATTTAGAAGGAGTTTTATTGGGCAATCTCAATGGTAGGCAAATGAGAAGGCCAGGGGCTGTTCAAAGCAGTGTAGTGACCGTGGCCAAAACTGTCATTCGTTTAGATGCTCGTCTGTGCTACGTTTGATATTAAGCATTTTATGTGGCTTTGCTTAATCTGTTATTTCTGTTAACTAATTTTTCCAGGGCGGCACAGAAGGAATTTACATTTCAGCCTCTCTCTCCCCTGTCTACATCGCTTGCTATTTTCTCTTATATTCAGACTGGTTTAAAAATACATTTGTGCATATATGCCCACATAAACACATGAAGTGCTTTAAAAATAGAAACCAAATCAAAACACGGAAAGAAACAGGACAATGTGGGGCATTAATAAAGTCCAATGCAGGCAAATGGCTCTTCTCTCGCGGTCTCCAGACGCCATTTAGTAACGGCTAAAGCGTGACCTGCTCAAGTTCGGGTAATTAAAAATAACAAAGACAACAACAGTGATAAATTCTCATGACGGGCCTCAGATCCCAGAACCTCAGAAGGATTATTCCAGCCTATTAGGCTACTATGGCAATTCCCTCGGTCCAGAGAGCTTTCCAACTTGACAGGAAACAACTCCATGGTTCCTACCCAGAGACCTATGAAGGTATTTTCCTGTCTTGAGAGTACCTGGCCCTGCTTTGAGTTGACCCTGCCTCTGGGCCCCCAGGGTGTCCTCAGTGTGGATCCTGTAAATATTCAATGTTAGCTTGCAGGCTGGGACGGTTTTAGTGTCACGGATCTGTCCTTCCACAGAGGGAGCAAGGAGCCGCAAAGGGAATCCCACATCTCAGCAGAATAAAGACCAGGAGGAGCTGGTGAGGGGTCACCTCCTGTCCAGACAGTTGGACTTCATGCCTCCAGGTGACCCGGAAGTGGGGGGGGCTCACAAAGGTCCACATGGCAGGGAAAAGGTAGCTCTTGGCACCCCGGTTAGACTTGATGAACTCATTGAATGTCCTTGGCCTTGAGTCCTGATTCTCAACCTAGGTCTGTAATCTCTGCTACAGTGATTCTCTGCCAAAGAGGCTTGGAGTGACCTGGATCTGCCCCCTCCCCGGGCCTTGGGGTGACAGCAGTTCCAAGAAAAGATAAAGCTGTCTTCTTCCCTCACTCTGGGACAGTCTCATGACCATGGGTTATCTCCTGGGAGGGAGGGAGTTGTGTGTAATGCAGGAAGGACCAGCAGGCCTGGGAGGGAGGAGGTATCTGCGAGGTAGGCTAACTAGAAGGCATGCAGCTCGTCCCCTTTCCCCCTTTCACAGCGCCAGGATTCTTGGCAGGAGCTTGGCCCCTTAATGAATAACGATGCCCACATGGCCAGGCTGCAAGCGCAGGCCTCCCCCCCCCCCAACACCAATGTTCCATGCTTCAGTGACCATACGAGCCATTAGATGCCCTTCAGGACCGAGCATGTGGAGTCTCACTTTTCACTGCAGAAGATCTATGTCTGCACTCTCCTGCCCCTCCCCTAGTCCCTGCTTCAAGCATCCCACCCCTGGCTCCTTCCAAGCTTTAAAAAATACGGGAGCTATAAACTTCAGAAGAAGGAAGGGGGGGCAAAAGAGTAAGCTTGTTAGCTGATGTTTTATAAACAGGGGGGACCTGTTAGCAACAGAGCCCAAGGAGGAGGGCGAGGAGGAGGGAGGGGGAGCTAGACCCTCCGAAAACATTATTATAAACACGAGGCTGCGCAAGCATGTTTTAGCAGAGAAAAAAAAAAATAATAAAAAGGAACCAGTCCCAGATGGCCCTCTTCAGAAAGGAGACCGGGAGGAAAAACGCTTCGTTTCGAACAGACAACGTAAATCAAAGCTCTGTACATTATTTTTTTACTCTTGAAAAATATCCCACAGCTCTGGGGAGGGGGCTGCTGCTTAGCGTCCTTCTGTCTGGGGGGGGGGGGATGCGCCATAGGCAGGGTTCAGGTAGGATGAAAGTGGGCGGACCATTCTAATAGGAATCTCTCCTCACTTCCCTCTCCTGTGCAGGGTCTCCACCTCACGTGATCCGAAGAACAGGACAGCAGGGGGAGATCTTCACGCTCCAGGTAAGGAAAGCCAGGCCAGTGTGTTCCGGGCTTCACTCCTCTCTCAACAGCCCCCTCTGTCCCCAAAGCTAAGGGGTCTGCATGGGGCCTCACTACTCCCTGGAGGGCTATGTGTAACTGAGACAGGAAATGCCTTCCAGACATCCATCCCGCCTGGCTTCCTCCTTCAGGCCTGTTAACATTCTCTCCTTTAAGAGGGAATGGTGTGGCGAACAAAGGCTCTCCATCAAATCCTAAATGGGTTTGTTTAGAAGGCCTGCCTTCCTAGGAACCTCTCCCTCCCACTGGGGAAGGAGCCAGGGTGCTGGGGCGGGGGGCAAGGGGTGGTGGCAAGCGTGTGCATTGACCATCAGCTGCAAAAGGCAAAGTCCATCCATTTTCAGAGCCCAGAGGAAGTGAAGAGGTGAGACGTGGTCATTCCCAGAATAATGCTACGGACATAACAGCCACATTTATGGAGCCTTTAATAGGTGTCAGCCACTGGGCTAAGTGCTGGATATGGGCTATTTAACTCAGTCCTCGCGGTGGCCTCCTGAGGAAGGGAGCCTCACTTTATTGGGAGGGGAGACTGAGCCAGGACTCAGAGGTATATTGGATTTCAAAGCATGGAGTTTTGAAAACTGTCCCATATTGGATGCTGGCCTCTCCCTTAGCGGCCGGCCCAGTACTGGATGCTAGCCTCTCCCTTAGCGGCCGGCCCAGTACTGGATGCTAGCCTCTCCCTTAGCGGCCAGCCCCCATGTGATGCTCACCTTCCTCGCAGCTCTCTCCCTTGTAGCCGGGGTTGCAGATGCAGGTGCCCATGATGCAGGTGCCGTGGCTGCTGCAGGCCACGTCGATGCATTGGTTGGTGGGCACGTCGCACTCAGCTCCCTTCCAGCCGCTGTGGCACAGGCACCTGCCCTTCATGTACTGGCCATTCCCGCTGCACAGCACGGGACAGGAGGCTGCGGAGACATCACCAGAAGCCGGGGTGAACCATGACCCAGTGCCCTGCTGCTGCTCTGTGTTCTCTCTTCCCCTCAGCTTGGTGGATGACCTCCGTGGCTTGGTAGGGCATACCCGTGTGTACCCGTCACCCAGGTCCCTCGTGTTACTTCGTTCCAGCTGGGACACCTCTGGAATTGGAACCCAAGGTGTGTGAGGCAAGACCAGCTGCTGTAAATGGTGTTACCGGTTTTTCCAGCCACTTCAGATTCAGCTGGGGCACCCTGGCTGCCAGGAGCTTTAGGCCGGAGGCTGGCATCTGTTCCTTATTACCACCAGAAAAGACTGGGGCTCCTGGGTGCCCTGCCACCGCCACACCACTGACCAAAAGCGGTCTTTAGCCCTGGCAAGTCTCTGCTTCCCTTGTCTTTTCGGCCCCTGCTCCAGCCCCTTATATCACAGCCTCTCGGAGAAGCGCTGAGCCCAATTTAGCTCTTTAAAGTGTGTTCCCACATGCCTCTTAGCATAAAGGCTTTGTGATCATCTCTAGGAAGGATGCTATACAAGGATAGATTATACTGCATTGTGGAGCAAGTGCTCACCCAGCCTGAGATAAAATCCGGCTGTGTTCTATGCGACTCTTAACTAGAAGTGCTTGGGAAGAGACAGCAGTTCTCCTTAGGGGGAATGACTCAGCTTTCTGCGCCTGCTTCGCTGGGCCCTACCTGGCTTCCTTCACTTCCGGAGTACCCAGCAGGCAATCAGCCTGCTTCCCATGGCTGCCAGCTTGACTGTCTCTATGCAAGTCTATCTCGTATTAGCGGAAGTGAGCAGGGTCCCCGGAGCTGCACCCTGGGCAGGATTTGGAGGCTGCTATTCCCTTGGCCTGGAAAATCATCACTGCTTTTCATTCTTGAGTTCCACAAGCCTTGGCCTCGGGTCCACCCCGTCTCTTCTCTACACCTTTCTGAGCAGATCTTCCTCTTGCCTAGCTGGCCTGACCCCTGTGCTGTCCATAGCTGGACACCAAAGGCTGACAGGGTGTGGTTCTACCTGCCAGCTCCCTTCCCCAGGCTACTGAGGAGTGGCTCTGGGCAGTCCTTCCTGGGTACCTCAGGAGTCTGTAGAGCACACCGCAGGGATCCCTAAGATGAGGGAAGCAGTTACCACTAGGCCACCTGAGCACTCACCTCGGCCACAGTCAGGGCCCAGAAAACCCAGGAAGCAGTGGCAGGTCCCCGAGATACAGTCGCCATTACCATAGCAGTTGCTGGGGCAGTTATCCACTGATTCTACAAGAGAAGAGAGGGAGAGCTGAAAGTGGGGTTGGCTCCGTGCTACAGAGCCCAGCGTCCAGACTCTTGTGAATCCAGACCCACTCGAACACACACACGCATGTGAGTGTGTGTGCATGCACGCGCGCCACACTCACACACACTCACACACACCACACACACACACTCACTCACACACACACTCACTCACACACTCACTCACACACACACACTCACACACACACATGCACACTCACACACACACACTCACTCACACACACACTCAGTCACACACACACACTTTTTTGAGACAGGGACTAATGAACTTGCTCTGTAGTGAAGGATAACCTTGAACTTTGGATCCTCCTATCTCTGCCTTGGGATTATAGATGTGCACAACCATACCCCGTTCCATGCAGTGTAGAGGTCAAAACCCAAGGCTCTGCGCAGGGTGCCCCCCACTCTACCCACTGACTCACACCCCAGCCTCTGTGCGTGGTTTTATAAATACTTTATGTATATTTTTAAGTATGTTAGCACTTCAGCTAAACATTGCTGGTAGGAAGCAGAGCGACTTGTGAGCAGTGATGATCTTTCGTTCTGTTCTACGCATGCACCAGTGTGTCTTCTCTCACCTTTTCTTTCCCTATATCCATCTATCCTCCCACTCCCCACCCCTGTCTCTAGCTGGGACGGCTACGGCAGCCTGCAGGTAGCCTTTCGGCACTATTCTCCAATGACAGCCTGGGGGAATCTCTGTGATATGAACTTGATGCTGCTATCCTCGGACTGAAACTCCTATGCTGGTCCTCACTGGCTGCAAGAAAAACCAATGCTCTGTTGAAAGCCATAGACCTTTCTGTCCCCCTGCCACTCAGCCCACTTTTGGGTGGACTGTCACTGCCTCTGACTTCCCTAAGACCACGGATAGCGGTCAGAGAGGTGGGATCTGAACATGTGACTTAGGACTTTGAGCTCGCACGCCTTCCCTGATGCCACACTTGCGGGGCCTTGCAGAAACCCATTCCACAGCAGAAGGCAGGGGTCTGAAGTAAGCCGCAAGGCAGCAGAGGAACCAGGGAAGGGCAGGGAATTCTAGAACTTTCAGAGGTTCCCAGGGACCATCAAGGGCAATGTACCCACTTAACAGAAAAGGAAACAGGCTCAGGGCATGGCATTGACTCACAGACTGAGCTGGCAGATAGGAGTGAAAGCGGAGGAGTGGACTGGAAGGGCTGGCAGCTGTAAGGATTCCGTTTGTCTTAGCCCACAAGGATCCATCAAGAATCCAAGACTGGGGGCCGGAGGGATGGCTCAGCCGTGAAGAGTGCCTACTGATGTTGCAGAGGACCAGTGCTTGGCTCTCACATTCACTAGCTCACAACTCCCACTAACTGCATCCCCGAAGGGTCTGCTGCCCTCTTCTGTCCTCTGCAGGCATTGCACTCATGTGTGTATACTCCCTTGTACACATAATTAAAAATAAAATATTCGCCCCAGCACTTGGGAGGCAGAGGCAGGCGGATCTCTGTGAGTTCGAGACCAGCCTGGTCTACAAGAGCTAGTTCCAGGACAGGCTCCAAAATCACAGAGAAACCCTGTCTCGAAACCGCCCCCCCCCCCAAAAAAAATAAAATATTCGTATAAATGAATAAGTTTTTTAAAAAGCCGAGACCGCTATGAAAGAGGCATCACCATTTTAGACCTGTGCTGATCTGAGTAACAAGGTAACAAGTGAGCGACCGCCTGGTCTGCAGTGTGGCAAAGAGAAAAACCTCTTCCTGGAGGTAAGGGGACAATGTGTCGGATCCATTCTTCCAGTACCATGCTGTGTGACCAAAAGCAACTGTCTTCCTCTCTCTGAGCCTCACTCTCCTGTCTATACAACGAAGGTGATGGTACAGGTGACTCCCTGGGACGGCAGGAATTATAATGAAGGGAGAGATCAGTCGGATGGAGAGGACATCACACCGCGAATGCGGCAGACGCTCAAGGGTACCATGCCAACTGCTAGGGCAGAAGGCTGGAGTAAGAGCCTGGTGGCGCCAAAAAGGAGCAGGAGGCACTGATAGACTCCCTCAGTGCCAGAGCGCATGCGCTGTTGCCAAAGCCCTGGTTTTGGTTCTGAGTCCCATGACGCACATTCTGCAGGCCTTGCCGGAACTCGTCCTACCGCAGAAGCCGGGGGTGAACCAGGCAGGTTTCTGGGACATCAAGGCCACCAATGAAGGCAGCAAAGGAACCAGTGGGAGGGGAGAACATTCTAGAACCTTCAGAACTTGAGAATACAGACTCAAGAGCAAGAGCCACTACTCCAACACATGGCCTCACCTCAGGCCTAATGGTCTGTCTAGGTGACGAAACCATGGGAAAAACGGGTCTGAGTATTTCCAGGCAGGCTTCTCCTGAAAGAGTTCATGTTCCTAGGTGTTTAAACCAGTACTGGCCTCCTAAATACACTTCTAAATAAAAACCACACACAAAATATCACTCTGAACGTTTTTTTAAAACCAAAGAGTCCAAGTAAATTTCAAGGCTGGGTGAGTTTCCCTTTGAGCTACTGCTAACCTTACAATGGAAAGCACATGTCCCCCAGCCCAGGTGCAGGAGCCCAGCGCAGGGAGGCCCTGGCCTTGGGTCTTCCCTTACCGACCCCCTCATCACAGTGCTAGTTCTCTCCACACGTCCTGGTTCCCGCCTTCTGTTCCCTCTTCCAGAGCTACTCCTGAGGCCACGACCCCCGAGGAGCCTTCCTGGCAGCTCAAGCAGGCAGAGTTCTCATCACTATAGAAACACCAGATGGTCCACTTTGTTAGCTATGAACCGTTGAGTTTAGAAATTCACTTTATTCATCTGGGCGGTTACCCTGGACTCTAACCCAACACGACTCTCGGTCTACTTCTGATGTGCTTGCTGAGAGAATTCTCTGGGTGGTCTCCCAGATCTAAAGGTGCTACGGTTCTGTCCTTCTCGAGCCAAAGGCATGGGCTGTCCCTCTCGATAACTCACGTTAACCACTAGCTGCTTTTCAGCAGGTCATGCCTGCAGGTGAGCAGCATACACTTCTAGATCCCAAGTTTATGATACCTGCATGACAGCCTGTTTATCACCTGCCAGAAACCCTTTGTGGCAGCTGAGTGAGAAAAGCGTAGTTTTCTGGGATGCAGTAGACTGCCAGCTCCGAAATCTGACAGAATGGAAGCCTAGATCCTTAAAACTTTGGCCTGGGCTGTCAGTGTTGGGGAAGGCATACATTTGAAGAGACAGGGAATTGTTTTAAGATGGCCCCGCAAAAGGAAAGGGAGCCATTTGCTTTGGATAAAATGTTTCCATGTATAGATATTCTTCCACATAGAGGGATTTCAGCAGCCTGGGGTCTACTTCAGATCCCATGAGTATGGGGCTGGAGAGATAGCTCAGCAGTGATACAAATGACACTCTTGCTGAGGACCAGGGTTCAGTTCCCAGCACCCACATGGTAGCTTACAACCCTCTGCAACTCCATTCTAGGGGATTTGATGCCCTCTGCTGGCTTCTGTGGGCACTGCAACATATGGTGCCCATACATGGACTTTATGCCCTGGCAATGCTGAAGCATGCATGGGCTGCCCGTGTATGGTGGTTCTGTTGTACTTGTCCATTTTGGGTTTCATGGTCTAAGCTAATGAGGACGACTGAGTCTCTTCCTCAAGAGGGCATCAGATTTCATTACAGATGATTGTGCGCCACCATGTGGTTGCTGGGAATACACGCAGGCAAAACATTTACATGCATTTTTTAAAAATGCAGAAAATAGATGATGATCCTGTGGATACTGAATCTCTACTGACCACCTCGATACCTCTGTGCTAACGGCTGGGCTAGAAGTGACCGCTGCAGGTGTGTGAGAAGCATGCACTTTACTACATAAACCTGTTGTCCGTTCCCAGTCCATGTGTGGTGAGTCTCTGCCCCTGTGTTCCTTCTGCTCAGCGTATGCCCACACTTCCGGTGCTTTTGTCTAGTAGAAGGTGTACCTTCCGATCAGCCTGAATTGGAATTTGGAATCCAGCTGCCTGTGAGTAACCAGTTTTCATAACTGGCTATCTATGGCATGCTGGGAAACGCAGGCCTTCTCCTCCTCGCGTCGGAAACTCATGGAGAACTTGGCTGTGGGATCAAGGTCTGCTTATTACCCAAGCAGAGGTCCAACCTTCTAATGCCTACTTCTGGCTGCTATGTCAGACGATGACAGCCAGTGCTATAGACAAAGACTGAACTTGGACCTCACGACCTGGCCTTGACTTTAGCTTGTGACATATGCACTTTATGTTACATCTGTTCTGGCTCCTCTGTTCCTGATGACGACCGAGCTCAGCTTACGATGAGCGACCAAAAAGAAAAGCAAGACAGGCTGGGTGGAGATCTTAGCATTTAATTCCACCTTAAGTCCAGGTTAAGGGGAGAGTCTGAGGGTCTCTTCACCCTGTTAAATGAACCTATAAACACACAATCATACAATCTAACTCAGTCCTCACAACAATTAAAAAATTAGGTATCATGTCCAATCATTTTATGGTCTTAATGGAGACTGAGAGTTGTAGTTACTGGTTCAAGTGCACAGAGCTCAGAAGGTGAATCATGGCCTGGGAAATGTTATATGACCTGGGCCAAAACATGGGCTCTGGAGCCAGGTTGTCTCTTGTGACATCTCTCCATCCTCCGTTGTGGTGCTAGTCACATGACAGTCTCGTAGAGAATGAGCAGGGTCATGTTTGACATGGAGAGAGGCTGGCCCAGGACCTAGCTGGGTTGGTCTTCCATTTGTGAATTCAAAACACTCGGTCTAATGAATCCAAATAAGGAGAAGTGGGTTATTTGGGGGGTAAACACACACACATATGCAAAACACACACAGAAACTCCTCCTGGCAAAAACGAGAAAGCAAACAACCCATGTTCCTAGCATGCGGGGGCGGGGTGTTGGGGTGAGTCCCATGTTCCTAGCGTGGGGGGGTGTTGGGGTGAGTCCCATGTTCC